ATGATGATGGTTAAGCTTAAGATAAAATCACTTTCAATATGGAAGTTACTACTTTGTAAAGGTGAATTTGAGCTTTAGTGAGGTTTTTAGGAAGAAGATGAAGATGAATGTGAAGAAGTTGCAGAAAATGCTTGAGAGAATGCAGGAGAATTGAGAGTGAAGAATGTGGAAATTGAGAAAATGATTGAGCTCTCTTGTGAAATGGTGATGATTTGCTTATATAGAGTTTTGCTTCGGAGTTGTTAGGTTCAAAGTGAGCTTTGAATGTAGCTTTGGAACTAGCTGATTGCGACTTTCCGAGTCTAATCGAATTAACTGCAAGTGTATAGTCTATCGCGTAGTAATAAAGATATCGATCCCACAAGGACTCGTAATCAATCTAGTATATTCGGACGTTACTGTGTTTAGCTAGGTTGTTAATGGTTTAAGGGGAAATATGCAAAAGTAAAGGCTAAACTAAAGAAAGGCTAAAAGGTTTCTTAGAATAATAATATGGGTAATCGGTATGTAATGACATAGTGCTCCGAGGATTCGACAAGTTACCGGCCCGGCTTAATAATTTCAAAATGGTTTTCAGAAGAAAATAACAGTTTAAAGACTTTTGTCTCACGATGGTTGTTGACGCTAGTCGCAACTCTAAGGCGGAACGTATGCTTTCGCTATCCCGTTCGGGGTTAAAATTGATTTTTGAAAACCATTGAGTTCTAATCTCTTTTAAAATGCTTTCGCTATGTTTAAAATAGATGCTCAGTTTTTACTATCTGGTCCTAGCCTCAACTTTCGCATGTCGGTTCATACCTTAGTGAATCTCCCACTGTCGTGGCGAGATTACTTTAAATAAATTCTCGCTGTCGTGACGAAGTTTAGTTTAACAAATTTGATTTAAAAACTAGAGCCAGAAACAAGTTTGAAAAAGGAATTTTACGCCGGTTATTATCGAACCTCGTTCTACTAGTTCATTACATACCGATCAATGCGGTTTTAGCTAGACATGAAGTTTAAAGCATGCATATTTAAATTTGAAGAGAAGAACTTGTAAACATACATATTAAAGAAAATATAATTAATTAACAATAACGGAACCTGTAAATAATTCTGGTTCGGCACTTGGATAATCCTCCACAATGTCGGCCGAATTACTCTTGTGACGATTAATTGTACGAAAAAGTAAAGAACAAAAATTACAACTGAATTCTGGAAAGGAAACAAGGAAAGGAAGCAAAGCAGAAAAGAAACAAAAACAAGAAAATATCTCTAGTATTAAATTCGGCAGCACTTCGTGGTCTTCAATGCGGCTCCCTTATTTCAGTCCCAAAGCTCTCTTTTTATAGTGAATGAATTCTACGTGAACTGCTTTTGGAAGTGCAATTGAGGGTCAGAAAATCCAAGGAGTCGTGCGTTTGTTTTGGGCTTCTGTTGCACGTTCTGGTAAGTGAACGTTGTGCAGAAATTGTGGGTGTGACGGTCGTCAGGGATCCATGACGCTCGTGAAGGTCATGACGGTCGTCACGCTTGTGACGGTCGTAAGGGGCCTGTGACGACCGTCATATCAGCAAAGTTAATTTCTGCTACTTTTCTCATTCTTTTTCTTCTGTTATATGTCTTTTAGTGTTTGTTTTCCTTATCTTGCTTCATTTGAGTATTGACTTCATAAACCTGCAAAACACTTAACAAACGATGCGAATGTGGTACGAAATTGGAGTGAAATCGACCGTTAGTAGCATGAAATTACGGCATTTAATATATATGTTTTCGCGTTATCACTAGCCTTGTAGTTAGTTAGCCTCAACTCACTGAGTTAGAGGTTAACTCAGTTAGTAAGGTAGTTGACTCGATAACAATCCCAATGCAAGCTTAGATCAAAGGGTTCCCATGCTTGCAAATGAAGTCTCACGGTAGTCTCAACTCAAATTGATGTATTGGAGTAAATGCTTTGAAGTGTCTTGAATGGTCTTGAACTATCTAGAGATGTCTAGAATGTTCCACACAATGCTAGAATCAAGTAGACCCTAAAATAGTATAGTGAAAGTGGCTATCACAGAAAATGCAGCAAAAATTGCATTTTTTCACAGGGTAATTGATTACCCTACATTGCCTAGCAAAGTGGTAATCGATTACCACAGGAAAAACTTGCATATTTTGCTTGCAAAATGATGTTGTGGCCACGGTTTCAATTTTCAATCTTTTTCTTTGATGAATAGGCATAGAAACCATTGTTTTGTGCTTGTAATGATGATGTGGTGTCTTTGTGAGGATGTGATTAATCGGCCTTAGAAAACTTAAATATTCCTACAACAAAAACCATAGAGAAAAAGTGTCAATGTGTATGTCAGTGATGCGAATGCACATGCTTATGCAAAAGGCAAAAGGGAAGGTCAAATTTCGGGTTACGACAAGATGATGAAAAGCAAGAATGAATGTGAGTTTAAAAAACCTGATCAAAAGGCTTAAAAGGCTTTTTTTTAGGGCCTTTGACCTAGCCTTTTTTTAACGAAATAGGCTTATAAAAAAGTTTAGGCTTTTTCTATTTGAAAAAAAAAGTCTGGCCTAACCTCAGCCTGTGTAGGCTAGGCCGTAGGCTCCTGTTAGTTGAACTGCCCTATTCTCACCCCTAATTGTAATATATACATTTTAAGGTGAAAATAAATCAAAAGAATCAAAGTGGTCTAGTGGTGGGTGTTTCAGATTTGCTTTATATGGCAGGGGAAATGGGTATTAACCTTTTTTTTTAAATCCATACAAGTTTTATTTTTTATTTATTTTTAAAAATTTTGAACACCGGGGGTCCTTTCAATTAATCTAAAAGGTCTTCGATCCAAAATAACATATAATTGTTCTTGATGGTGACCTTGTTAAGTTGGAAATAATCAATGCAGAAAACCACATCTAAAAGGTCTTTGAAAATGGTTTCTCTTTACAACTAATGTACACTGAATTGGAAGAGAGTCAATTCATTCCCAACGTCACATCTATCTTTTTAAAAGGTAGACATATCGGAAAATACAAAAGATATTATTATTAACAGTTATTAGACAATCTTAACGTATCCATCTGGTCTCTACAGTATTATCTGTGGATGTGGTGACTACCATCAGAGAAGGTAGTGCGATTTATTCTAATCCAAGCATATTTAGACACTTATTTGAGATTAAGAAGTATGATGTATCGTGGTCGGGAAAATGACACAGTCACCATCATCCTTTATTCGTCCTAAGAGATAGAGAAATAATGATAAAATCTAAATTCTAAGGGTGAGACACTAAGGTTCGGGAGTTTGTTAGGCGGGAGGAAGGTGTTAGGCACCTCTCACCTCTATTGTATCCAATAGGATCCTCATTAAGCCCTAGGGTTAATTGCTTGTTAAATGTATGTTTGCTTTTTCTACCTACTTATATACATAGTCCTTACTATTACAAGATAATTGATGAAAGGGGGAACTCTAAGTTTTTATTATTATTGTACTCGCTAGGGTTTATAACCCTATGCCTACGTATCCTCGAGTTTGAAGGATCTGAGTTTCGTAGTTCGTATCCCTTATTTTGTTGGTTGGCTGATTTTATCCCTTGAAATAATCCTCACACAACAGGAGCAGAGGAAGATTCAATTCCAAAAAAATGCCTTAATTACAAGTTAGGTGTGTTGAGTGTGTTTTATCCCTTTATCAATTTTAATTTGCAAAAATCTCTTTAAATTTAATTATAAAAATAATATGATATTATATCATAAAGCCCTTGTCCCTTATCCCTAGTCCTATGTTTATACTTTTACATCTTAAGAGTTATATCCCCAAGTCTTTATCCTTTTTTATCCCATGACTTATCTCATTTAAATCCAATTTTATCCCTAATATCCTATTTATCTCTAATATTTATAAAAGACAAAGATTAATAATTAATTAAACCAAATAATTATCATTTGCAAATTTAAACCCTGCACCCTAGCAAAATAATCACACCTCCCTTATTCTCATATTTTACACCATCCCTAATTATTCAAACATCAAACAAATTAAGGCAACAATTCCAATTATTTAATTATAAAATTGATTAAATAATTTAAATAAAACCCCCCAAATAGATTAATTATGTTAAACCCCAAATTTAAAAATAATAAAATAATTAAAATAAATCTCACCCTATTAATCATAGAATTAATTAATTAAATATAACCCCAATTTATTAATCATAGAATTAAATAAATAAAACCCTTTAATCATAAAATTAATTAAATAAAAAACTTTTTTTATTAATTATTTAAATAAAACCCTTTATATTAATTAAATAAAAACCCTCTTTGATTAATTATAAAATTATTTTAAATAAAACCCTTTATATTAGTTAAATAAACCCCTCTTTTATTAACTATAAAACTAATTTAAATAAAACCCTTTATGTTAATTAAATAAAACCCTCTTTTATTAATTAAAATAAAACCCATTTTATGGATTTTAAAATTAATTTAAATAAAACCCCCTTTTCGTAACTATACAATTTGAATGAACCCTTTTTATTAATTACAAAATTAACTTAAATAAAACTCTCAATATTTAATATTTAATTAATTAAATAAATTACACAAATGAACCCTAATCATTTAATTATTGAGTCAATTAAACAAAACCCAAATTTGTCTATATATATAAATTTTGGATTTTTATACTTTCCTAATACAGTGACCTACTTTCCCTCATGCTTTAGCTCAAATAACAAGCGTGCCATTAGTGTCATTAGATTTAGAAGATTCCAAGACTTACCATCTTAAAGGATCTCCGGTTAATCTAGGTTTATGATTATGTGAGATATTACAGATGCAAAACAATTGCCAATACAATTGTGCTCAATAGTTACATAAGTTTAACTAAGGAAATAATGGAAAACTAGAACAATAAATAAACAACATTGGTATTTAGACATCTTATATTCCCCTACACCATATTACTAATGATCACTAGAAACTAATTTTTGATTCTTTAGAATCCAACTGGAGTCATGTTCTATCTTCTATCGACCTTCTTGAATGGTAGCATCATCCTGTAGACTTGTAGATGCTGTGCTAGATAGGTCTTTACGTGTAAAAAAGGTTGGTTGTTTAGGAATCGAAAGAATTGTAGTTACATTGTCTAGCATGGTAACCACATTTGACATGTGTGGACGGTCATCTGGTTCATCTTGTACACATAAGAGTCCAATTTGTGAACATCTAATAAATTGATTTTGATTATAAGTATCATGTAGAGATGGGTCCATTAAATCTAGCAATTTGTCCTCTCTCCATAGTCTCCAAGCCTGGTAATATGAGACATAGATCCATGAATAAATAAAGATTAACGTATAATGTAAAAATTGAATGCAAAATGGTGAAACATACATAACCAAGAAGACTTGAAATTTCTTTAGAACCATAGAATCCAGTGTTCCTTTTACCACTGATTATTTCAAGCAAGACAACACCAAAACTAAAAACATCTGACTTTGTTGAAAAATATCCATCCAACGCATATTCAGGAGACATATATCCACTGTTAATATACAAAAATTAGTCACATACAAATGAAAGCAACTACATATTTCAATGGATAATTTTATTCTAACATTTTTTTTTCTGGTAAGTCTTAAAGAAGACATATATTTAAAAATATATATATAAAGATAATTTTAATTTAAATACACGACATCGAAAAATAGAAGTAAAAAAATTAGGAATTGTGCTTACTATGTACCAACAACTCTCTCTGTGCTTGCTTCAGACTCTTTGCCTCCAAATATTCTTGCTAGTCCAAAATCTGAGATTTTTGGTTGCATCTCTTCATCTAGAAGAATGTTACTAGTTTTTAAATCTCGATGAATAACTCTAAGTCTTGAATCTTGATGAAGATAGAGCAATCCACGAGCAATTCCGAGAATTATGTCAAATCTCCTTTGCCAATCTAAAACTATGCTTTTTGTCGAATCTTTGAATATTTTAAATATTCATTTAAAAAAAGAAATAATTAAGCAATGTACTCTAAAAAGTAAAATACCACAAGTAATAAATAAAACTAGAGACCAACCGAATATCAATAAGTCCAAACTCTTGTTAGGCAAATATTCATAAAGTAGAATTTTTTCTTCTCCTTTTACGCAATAGCCACGTAATTTAACAAGGTTTCGATGTTGAAGTTTGGCAATCAAAACAACTTCGTTCTTGAATTCTTGCAAGCCTTGTGATGAAACAGTTGAAAGTCTCTTTACTGCAATTTCTTGACCACCAAGGTTACCCTATAAATAAAGTAAAGTTTAATTTGAAGGAAAATATTTATAAAAAAAGGAAAAGAAAAATCAATCACCTTATAAACTGGCCCAAAGCCACCTTTTCCAAGTTTATTTGCATCTGAAAACTCATCTGTGGCTATTAGTATGCTCTCAAAATCAAAATAGGGAACTTCAATTCCTTCATTATCATTCTCTTCCAATCCCTCCATGTCTATCAAGTCTTTCACATGTCTTTCACTATCGTAAAATCGGCCTCTGGTATTTCTTTGAACGCTTTCATTATCTAAACTCATTGATTAATCATATAAGCTTCAAACATTACAAAAAAAAATTTAAGAAAGGAATTATTAAGATTCTGACCTTTCTTAATCATATGAGATATTCTTCGTCTGCATGCATAAGCAAATATAATGAGGCATGCAAGAGTAACCACACCTGCAAGAACTAAGCCAAGAATCAAATAGAATGAGCTTTTAGAGTTGCCTCCTGCAGACGTTTTTGTTGCAATAGGAGACGATCTAATGCCTGAAAAAGATGCAAACAAAAACATCACACTCGTTTAACTTGTAACTTAAGTTACATGAATATTGTTCAACATGCAACCGAGAAAAAAATCAATTACTTACTGTCTGTACAATTTAAAAACTCGCCACTCCATTGATAGTTTGCATTACAAAGGCATATGTTTCTGGTACAGGTAGAATGTTTCAACCCTTGGCAATCAGTAGAGTTATTACATATGGGTTCTTTGGAAGGTGGTTCCCAATTAACTTCCTCCTGTCGAGAGCACAGTGTGTCATCAGACAAGAAAAATGGTGAAGAAACATTCAGATTTCCCGTGCATTTTAGTCCTTTGTGATTATATGGCTCAAGTGAACTATTCTGATTAAGAATGGTAAATTGTGTTAAATCAGAGTCTACACGAATAACTCTGTAATTAACGTTGTCGTCGGTTGTGAAGCTAAGTTGACCCATGGAGGTGTTGCATCTAAAATTGAAGTATTTGGGGTCTCCACAGTTGGATCCGGTGCTGAGAGGATAAGGGACTACGTTTGTACCACAAGGCTCACAAGTTCTTGGAGTTGGTGCTGCAAAAGTGAATAAAATGAATCTTCACAATTATAAATATGTTTGTAGAGATACAAAACACAAATTCAACAAGAAATAATGTAAAACTTGTCCTTAATTTTGATATTTTTAGTTGAAATGTGTCTAATATAAAAAATCAGAGCATACCTAAGTCTGATTTATCAACTAGGACAATGAGTCTCCGATTAGGATCCCAATTAGTATAGTCTTCTTTCATAGTAGTTAAAGTGTGAGTCCATATCCAACAGTCTATAAGATTGACAACACGCTGATCAGTGGGGGGTGGAGCATACGAGTAAGCTTGACACAGTGGACACATCGTAATGCACATAGATCTGCAATCGTTTTCAGATTCTACCATTTTTTTTATATCCGGCCTTCCTGTTTTAATCATAGTCAAGTTCAAGAAGGCCGTGTCATTTCCAATACAAGGTGCTGATTTTCTCCTCCTACAAACTACCTTGTCACGTGCAGAAGAATTTCCATCTCCAAGGTTATACATGTAGAATCCAGGTAAACATTGGCATGGGTAATCATGATCATCGTCTTTGCAGCTATAAAAGTTTCCACAAAAATTATATCTCAAACAGTTGGTTTTTGGCTGCATCCATTTAACCAATGGTTGATTTTCGAACAAATCGACTTCCGCCCACTGAATCATACCTTTTGAATTGAGGAACAACCTTGAATTGCCGTATTGTTTCATAGGAAATGCTTTGTTCAGTCTAAGCACGCTGAAGTTTGTCAACAAGTAGTAAACCTCTGTGCTGATGTCATCTGATTGATCATTATTTACTTTGAAATTCATTGTTTCGTACTCTTCGCTCTCCCAATAAATTTGGTCTCTGTTTGTGATGATAAAACGGTTGACCCCATTTTGTTCCATCTTAAAAGAGAAATCTCCACTTGTTGGGTCATCGTCACTTCTCCAACTGGTCAGTTTCATATTCCCATCCATCTTCATCCCAAGTAGGAACGTGTCAGTTGGATTTTCAAAGCTCTCCCAGACTTTCACTTCCTTGTGTTCATCATCATCATATAACACAAGGTTACCAGAATCCATGAGTTTCACTGTCCTGTTTTTTGGTGAAGAATTAGAAGAGACTTTGACTTTAGATTTGGATTTGGATGACCAGTACCTTGTTTTATTAGGGGATGTGTCTTCAACTACAAGATTCCCATCCTCAGCTATTCGGAAAACACCAATTGAACCAACAGCTACAGGGTTGTCTCTGTTGGCAACCCACACAACTATTTGTTTTTGAGATTGTTCTGACCCCTCTTGCTTGTGATACCATATGCCTAAATAGCTTTGTGAACCACCAGAGCTGCTAGGAGTAAAAAAACCCAGATCAAATATCCTTTCAGATGAAACAATGGTCTCACTGCCCGTCATCTTCTGGCCAGCGTTCAAAGTATCTCCTGCTAAACACAGCTGAGAAGAAGTTATTAGTAACCAAAAAGAATACAGGTTGAAGAAGAGAACAACAGTTCCCATGTTACTCGACATGAAACTCTATCAGGTTAGAACACACTTGTTTCTGGCCTTGCTTTCACGGTTAACGCAATCATTGACCATGGTCCTACTTGTTCCATACAACTACTAATTGGTCGTCATAAAGATAATTAATCTACAAGTTTCAAACAATCAATGTATCTGATTTGGACTTCTAATAGAGAAAATTTGTCAAATATTGGATTAGATATTAATCTACAAGTTTCAAACAATCAATGTATCTAGTCTATAAACTGTTCAAATATATTGATTATTCAATGAATTTGAAAATTCAATTGTCTCTTATAAAAAGAAACGAAGATAGTATATAATATTGATTGTGATACATTTAGGATGATGAGCGTGAATTGTAAAGGGGATGATCTCATGAATGAGAAAGCCAATTATTTTTATAGTTGTTGCAAGAAATAAACACATAATTGTTAGAGGAGTCTTGCGGCTTTAGATTATCAATTTGCATAAGATTATTGGATGTCAAGTCGAATTCAAAATTTTCTTATATGTGCTTGCAATTCTTTGCAAAAACGCTATTGGACATAGTCCGTGTAAAAGACAAGATATTTACAAGTTATTATGATGCGAAGAGGCAGATGTCGAAGATGGAACTAAAGTAAAAAAAATTGAATTTTGCAAATGAGGTTGTTTGTTTTTTTATGACATTGAGTTTTGCAAAAGTGAAGGAATGTAAGTTTTATCAGAGCTCAAGGTATTGTGTTCAGAGTAAAGTCATTGATCATAAGCAAAAATGAGTTGCATTGAAGTCCATGTTTTATTTGTCAATAATATCAAGATTATAAATAATGTTTTTATCAATTCATAGTTAAGGTCAAATGGCATCACCCAAATAAAATTAGTTTAGACATGATATAACATTCATATGATGATGAAGTATGGAAACACTTCGGTTACATACTCAATTTGTTCTTGAACCCAGAAATGTCCAACTTAGATAATGAACTGATGGTTTTACTCTATGTAACCAAGCATCAACAATTGCAAATTCTTGTTGCTTAGTTTTGTTACCCATATGATCTCTTTCTAGAGATATGTATGACAAAATCTTACATGTTTTTGAGTTGCCTTGTTTTGCGACTATCGAATCCTAGATCTAAAATTAATTTGTACTTACAATCTTTAATTATGATTTGTTGTGAATCGGATACCTTTAAATAAAGTATAAACGGTTTCTTAGCAAGAAACACACAAAGGTTAGGGTTAATAAAGAAGAAAATAACAAGGATTGGTTATTAAACTGTTATTCTTTCCTTTCTCTTAGAACAAGATTACAAGTATATAAGAATAACAAAATAACCTCTCTCCCTTGAAATTAGGATTTTATCTTCCTATTTTTCCTTATGTCGAGATCCAAATACGTGGCCTCTGCAACTGCTCTTTCATTAGTAGTCCCTTCTCTTCCAGAAAATGGTCCAGGAGTGACGCCTACTCCCATCAGGGCGGAATATTCTTCCAAGGTTGGTAGCAACTGATAGTCTGGAAAGGTGAAACAGTGATAGGTTGAATCATAGAACTGCACGAGTGCGGATAACATCTCTTCATATACTTGAACTTCTAGCAAAGACATCATATTTCCATACTTCTCTCTGAATGCCTCGGGGTCTTCTACTAAACTTCCCAGTTTCTTCAAGTTCTCCAATTTTGGGCTTCGGAACACAATCTCTGCTTTTTTTTCCAGAATCCATCCTATAATATCTGCAAAACAATCTTTAGTTCCTTGAATGATTAATTAATGAGAATGCAAATGCGAAGGTTTCATGGAACTCAGATCAAAACATCATTTCATTTCATTGTTTTTCAAGATTTGAATTACAAAATATCCAGTACATTTTACAAAAGTCCTAAATATAAGGCTGACAGTATTCTAAATAAAAGTCCTCTTTTGCTTTGAGCTTCTTGATTTCTTCTTCCATCTGAGTCTTCTCCAGAATGAGTTTGTCCACGACTAGCTTCCATGGAGTTAGTTGAGAGCTGGAAGGAAATAAACCTTCCTGTGTCTTCCTCTTCTTACAAGCAATCATTTCTTCATCCTTCGCCTGGAGTTGTCTACGGAGTTCATCATTCTCTTCCATGGCCACTTGGTACTTGTACCTCCAGGCTATTTCAGTTTGTTGTGATTTCCTCAAAGCAATTTTCAACTTCTCCTCTTCAGACATAAAGACCATTGGGTGTTCCTCCTCTAAAACCATGGGTTTCTGTTGAGAATAAGGCATCTTCAGCTGAATAGCTCTCTTTCGGACCCATTGGAGATAAGGTTCGAGAGAGATGCAATTAGGTTTCCCTAAGTCTTCCTTTCCTTTCTTATGCACATGACCCCAAGCTTTTATAATTTCTCCTTTCAATTCTGAAGTTTCCTTAAAGAAAATATTCTCCACATGAGCGCTATTTGGCTTGTCCTTCAAAGGATATCCAAGTTGTCGGCGAGCGAGAAAAGGGTTGTAATTGATTCCTCCATTCGTACCAAGAAGAGGTACGTTACCAAAGCTTCCACAATTGTCAATGATCCTTATCCCATCGTAATTACGACTGTACCAATCAATATCAGAGTGAGTGAGAGCCATAACCTTTTGAGACCACCAGCCTTCCTTCCAAAAAGCATGAGCTTTAGGTAAGTGAGAAATAAACCACTTGTATAGTAAAGGGACATAACAGGTAACCATTCCTCCTTTATGAAGATTCCTCAAGTGAACAGAATGATAGGCGTCAGCTAGTAAAGTAGGCACAGGGTTTTTCTTCAAGAAAATCTTAATGGAATTGAGATCCACAAAATTATCAAAACTTGGAAACAAGAAGATCCCATAGATTGCCTCAACTTGTGACCAATTTCATCCTATATCATGTAGTTGATGTGTGTATGTGTTTAGTTTGACCAATATATGCCTAGAAACAAAATTGCATATTAGCTTGCATATCATTCATGACAAAGTGGAAACTTGACAATCTATTTTTATCACAGCATGATTTACTCACTCATCATCATTTATGTGGTATGTGTGCATGATTACTTTGAACTGAAACTGGCTGTAACTTGAGATTCATATCAAATTGCATTTTCAAACATCACAAAGCAAGTACTATCGGGTTTTAAAATGGAGGAAGAATTTCAAAAAACTAAAAGTGCTATCTTGTTCCTCATGAAATTCTAGTCAGTTTACACTAAAATTTTGTCAAAATCCATGGAAAATTGACTGAGTTATGATCAAAATGCAAATCTTTGAGTTTGTGTGATTTTGTTGCCCAGAATTTCATAAAAGTATCCCATATATATTTATGGGGTGGCATTTACAAACGGATGTATAGCCACCGCTCTAATTGTGTATGCTTGGCGTTATGTCCACACGAGGGGAGTAATTGCCCTAGGTTACCACGACACCACTGTTTCAGAATCTTACTTATCATGGATAAAAGAAGCAGCGTTAAATATGTTCTATACTCGCTTTGAGCCTGACTCACCCAAACCTACTCTCATAGAAGAATTGAAAGTTGCTTTGGCGAAAGCTGAAAAAGAAGGAAAGGCTTGGAGGGATAAGTATTTCAGGTTTACGCAAGAGAAAGAAGAGCTTCAAGAGTTGGTCCGTCAAGGTGGAAGGAGGAGTCAGCCGAAAGACGAAGGGCATCCAACCAGAAGACCTAAAATCCTTTTGTTTTCCGTTTTATTTCATCATGTATCTGTATTGAAGACTTGTATTTCAGTTTCAGAATCGTTGTTGTAAAACTCTCAATTGTTAACCTATGAAGACTTTTTGAATTTGCTTATTTCCCCATTGTATAATTTTTGCAAATATTTCTTTGGATTCCTTGAATGATTAATTTTGCATTGTTGCATTTTGCATTCATAAGCATTGCATGTGCATGTTCTTGTGTTGTGTCTCATCTCGCTGTCTTGTCTTCAGAAAGAATCAAACTGAATCCTCAACACCGATACAACACCCGAGCCCAAGCTCGCCTAAGAATGGAAGGACAGAATTTGGATGTGGACAGGATTGATAATGAACTTGGAGAGCTACGAGGAGGCATGGAGAAGATCATGGAAGCCCTACAAGTCATTCGTGCAAAGTTGGACACTCAAGCCACTGTTGTTTCTGAAATCACTGGGGTAGCTGTAGAGTCGATCCCAACGGCAGTCACTGTTGCAAATGTTCCACCATATGGGTTACCGCCTGGTTTTGTACCTCCACCAATAGTCAATCAACAAGAAGTTTCCCTAAGGGCAGAAGTTCCTCAAGTTATTCCTACTTACACTCAGCCTTCTATTCAGATTCAAGCGCGCCCTGTTTTTCATAACCCTCCGCAAGTGTACGAAGGTCTTGATGGGTATGAAGAGGAGAGTGGAAGGCATAATAAGTTGAAAGAAAGTGTAGAAACTATCGGCAGGAAATTCAGAGCAATGGAAGAGAATGACATCTTTGGTACTGACACCAGAGATATGTGCTTAGTATCGGGGTTGGTAATTCCGCCAAAATTCAAGGTTCCCAATTTTGATCAGTATTCTGGCGCTACTTGTCCTCGGACGCATCTGATTATGTATTATCGAAGAATGGTCGCTCATGTAGAAGATGACAAGTTAATGATTCACTGTTTCCAAGATAGTTTGAAAGGAGCTCCTGCTAAATGGTATTTGGGTTTGGATCAGTCTCATATTCACAGTTTCCAAGACTTGGCCGATGCTTTTGTGAAACATTACAAGTACAACATGGATTTAGCCCCTGATAGAAGATAGCTACTGAGTATGTTGCAGAAAAGTTCGGAATCTTTCAAAGAGTATGCACAAAGATGGAGGGAAACCGCCTCTCAGGTGGAACCTCCTTTGAGTGAAAAAGAGTTGACAGATTGGTTCGTCGATACAGTGAGACCGGAGTTTTATGAGAAGATGATCAGTAGTGTAACCGCAATTTTTTCTGATATAGTAGCAGTGGGGGTGAGAGTGGAGTTAGGAATGAAGAATGGGAAGGTGGCTAGTGGTTCCAGCAGTTCTGGTA